GTGGCCCGCTACATCATCGATTGCGGTCACCGCCCTCCCGACTGGCAGCAGGGCTCGCCTGTGGATCAGCAGGTCGTGCAGCATGCGGCGCGCCATGGTGGTGGCGCAGGCGCAGCCCGCGATGACTGTCCCGTGCGCGGATATGACCTCGCTCGCGGCCCTGTCGGCTGTGGCTCGTCGCGGCCTCGAGTCGGCCACGCGCGGCGCTCGGACCAACCCAGTGCTGAAGCCTTGCGCCTCGGCGGCGCGCCTGAGGATGTCGTGATCTATTCCCTCGTAGCAGTTACTGATGCCGAAGTAGTTTGAGACCCCATCGAAGCCATCACCGCCACCCTCATCAGACAAGGAATCCTCCAGGGCCTGTAGCCTCCTAAGCACATTCCTTAACAAACACGCCCCCGCCTCACGGGCCCCCCCCTTGTCGACGATGAACAACGCGACCGGGGGTCGCTGCGCCCCGCCCTGCCCAGACCCCGCTCGTGCTTGTTTTTCTTGCGTTCCGCAGCGCGGCCCCCAAGGATTTGGACCCCTTCCCTGGGTTTTAGGGCGAGAGTGACGTCAAGGTAAAACTGGCGCAAGATGCGATCCAAGATCACCAGAACACCTAGCGGCTCAGCCGTTAGGGATTACTGGGGATCCTGGGAGCCTTGGAACTCTTGAAACGCATCATTCTGACCTCATGCTTCCCCAGTGGTGCGCCTGGTGAAGGATTGGGCCCAAAGTTCTCTTTGTCCGTCGGGCCCTCGGCCATAGACGGGAAGGGCCACGGGCAGGGTGTGGAGGAGTTCCGCACTGAGACGTCCTCACACAATTGGGATGTTGCGAGCGACGTTGGCTCTCTAGAGTGTGGGGCTTTCGCCTGAGACCTCCTCAGAAGAATCAGATGCTGGAGATCGGGGGTAGGATATCGAACAGGTGTCAGCAGGGGCGTTTCGCCTGAGAACTCCTCACAAAATGGGGAGGTTGGAAGATTTGTTGGAGCGACATTGGTTCTCTAAATGGAGGCTCTCGCCTGAGACATCCTCAGACAAATGTGATGTTGGAGATCGTGCGTCGGATATCCAACATGGTGTGGGGGGGCGTCTCGCCAGAGACATCCTCACAACGTGTGGATGTTGGAGCAGCTGTTTTACGACGTTGGTTCTCAAACGTGGAACTTTCGCCTGGGACATCTTCGATGAGATGCTGGAGATCCAGAGTCCGATGTGGTACATGGTGTCGGCAGTGGCGTTTCCCTTGAGTCGTCCTCACAATATTGGGATGTCTTAGGATTTGTTGGAACGACGCTTGTTCTCAAACATAGGTCTTCGCCTAAGGCATCTCCAGAACATGAAGTCTTGGGTATCGTGCGTCGGATACCTAACATGGTGTGTGTGTGCACGTGTGTGTGCACGTGTGTGTGTGTGTGTGTGTGTGTGTGTGTGTGTGTGTGTGCGCACGTGCGTGCGTGCGTGTGCGTGTGCGTGTGTGTGTGTGTGTGTGCGCACGTGTGTGCGTGCGTGTGCGTGTGCGTGTGCGTGTGCGTGTGCGTGTGCGTGTGCGTGTGCGTGTGCGTGTGCGTGTGCGTGTGTGTGTGTGTGTGTGTGTGTGTGTGTGTGTGTGTGTGTGTGTGTGTGTGTGTGTGTGCGGGGGGCGGGCCTCGCCTGCCGACGAACGACGACGACGACGCAAACACCCCTTCCCACGACGCACACGCCCCCCATGTCGGAATCCCAACTTCGGAGGCTCGAGGATTAGGTGGCCACGCGTGTACTCAATTTCCTTACTGGGTTCGTGGGTTCCAAGACGGCCAAGATGGCCCCGAGAGCCCAAGACGGCTCCAAACTTTATCAAGGACGGCCCAAGATGCCCCCAGGATGGCCTCAAGATCGCCCAAGAGGCCTCCGAGACGGCCCAAGAGGCCTCCGAGAAACCTCCAGGACGGTCCCAAGAGGCCAAACTCATTGATTGTCCCTCGGTGTTTGATGGACTTTGGGGTTTGCTCATTTTCGGTTGTCCGACGGCCCAAGACGGCGCCAGAGGCCACAAAGATGGCCCCAAGAGCGTCCAAGAGGCATTCGAGATGGCCCCCTGACGGCCCAGGAGACCTCCATTACGGCTCCAAGACGTCCCTGAAGCGCTCCAGAAAGGCCAACAGTCGGCCCCAATACAGCTTCCGACAGCGTCAGACGGGCCAGGAACGCCCACAGACGGCCAAAGAGCCTCCCAAGGAACTTCAAAAGGAAGCCCCCAGGAGGCCTCCAAAAAGCCCCCTGGAAGCTGCAAAGAGGCCCAAGGCTTGCCCCAAGAGGCTCACGAGACCTCCATTCCTCGTCCATCTGAATAACTCCTCCGTGTCGCACCCCGAGGCCGGTCGGAAGGGCGGGCAGGGCGTTTCGCCTGCGACTTCCTTACCACTTTAGAGCTTGAAGCTTAGATACTGGCAACAATTTCACAGATGGAGAGAGGGCCACTTCCAACATGTGTCTCTCGCCTTAGCACCGCGCATTTTCGTTTAAAATTTTGCATAAGTTCCACAGACTGAGGGCGGCTGGTTTTCAAAATGTCGCTCTCGCCTTAGCGCCGCGCACTTTCGTCTGAGAATTGCAAGAGCTTCTCTGATTGAGGGCCGGTGGTTTTCAGAATGTGGGTCTCGCCTTAGCGCCGCGCGCGTTCGTTTTGAACATTTGCAAGGGTTTCACGGATTGCAGGCGGGTGGTTTTCAAACTCTGGCTCTCGCCTAGGCGCCACGCAGTTTATTGCCTTAAAAAACAGATTGAGGACAATTCCTTTTCAACATGTTGTTTTTGCCTCAGCTCCGCGCGCGTTCGTTAAATCATGTGCAAGGGTTTTGCGGATTCTCCTGGTGAACCTGCCAAAGGATGGTGTGTTCGAGCGATTCATGGTTGCCAGGGCGCAACAGTTACACTGAGTCGCGGTGTTGACTCCCCAGGAATGGTGTTCGGGCGAGATTCAGGATCGCCAAGACGCAACAGTCAGGTTGCCTCGTGGCGTTCCAGTTCTGAAAACGATGTTTTGGCACGCTTCAGGATTTTCGCACGGTTGAATCCCAACGGGGCACTTCCCTCAGTGGAAGTGGACCCCTGTATGGGGCCTAACCTCAGGAAGGCATTAAGAAACCCCCCTGGGTTATTCTTAGCACCCGGTTTTCTCAATATTCCAGGCGGGCAGTTTTAGCCGAACGATACACTTAGCACCCGCCGCACACAGAAAACAAAATCCACCATCGGCGGCCGCCCCACTAACGCCAAGAGAGGGTGTCGTCGACGACGACGACGACGACGACGACGACGACGACGACGACGACGACGACTTGGCCCTGCTAAACTGCTTGGCAGGAGCAAATCTGCGCTTGGCAGGCCTTAGCTAGGCCCCGAGTCCCCTCAGCCAGGTCTTCCGGTGCGGCCATAACGCTCCAGGGTGCGGGGGCGTTATAATCCACCGGAAAAGGGGGGGGGGGGGTTCTTAATGCCTTCCTGAGGTTATGGAGAGGGAGCTTGGAGGGAGGGGTTGTTCAAACATCGTTGATAGGTCTTAGGTTTGTTTGCACTGGTCCTCTCTCCTCCTTCCCTTTTTGGTTCTCTTCTTCTTTCTCTGCACGTGTTTCCCGAAGGGGCTTTCAGCGGAAGAGGTTCGCTCTCGCCCTGCAGATCAAAAAAGTTTCCCGAAGGGTTTCCACACTTAGGGGAACACGCGGTCCGATAGCTTGGACGAGCTCTGGCCGCAACGTTCGGCCACACAGACGCTTCCAAAAGGCAAGGGGCGGCGGTGATTCGCCGTAAGCGTCTTCGCCAAGAACAGCACCCTAGCTCTTATAGCATCAAACCGATATCCGATGTCGCAGCCTGTTGGTGGTTGTGGTTCAGCAACGAATGATGCAAGTCACAACGGGTTGTTATAGAACTGGCCAGGGTTTGGTGGGCCTAGGGCGCTTCGCCACTGGTTGAGAGGGGGTGGGCGGGGGGGAGTTATGATGTCGGCCACACGCCAGCATGGATTACGGACCCGATCTGGCGCGCGAGCGCCCAACCCACGGATCGGGGAATGGACCCCCCTGAAGTGCGAGGCCAGTGCCGCACCATTTGGCCTCGGAGCGCGCTGATGCTGCATGGCAGCGGGACCCGTCGCTAATCCACGCGCTTTGAGCCACGCTTGCGCTTCCTCGATGCTAGGGGAAGGCGGCTTCTCCTCCTGCCCCTCCCGCGCCCTCGGACTCTCGAGCGGTGAGTGGTGGGCGGGCGGGCCAGGATCTGGCATCCAGTCTGCTGGGGATCTCGCTCACCATGCACGGGATCCTGGGAACTCCTAGCCCGCCAGCATCTTCCTTCCCTCCTCCTTGGGACCCAGTGGGTCCGCCTACAGCCATCGTGCTGCCACAAAGAGAACTGAATGAAGAGAGCGAGTTGGCTTCTTCTCTGGCCTCGCGCGAGCCTGGGACACGAAACGTTTTTCCGGCCACAATTTAAGGAACGGACCGGAAATCATACAGCCCCTCCCGAGCCCCAACCGGCAATTATTTCAGCGTCTTGATTGTACCAAGCAACTGGAAACATACAAATATGATTCTGGCCACGTGTTTATCCAGCTCTCGCACAGGCAGGCCACATCATGTGTATCCAGCTTGCTAGTCTGATTATCCAAGAGGCCCCCCCTAGCACAAAAAGCAACAACATGCACGTCAACTTTGTGAGCGTTGTGCAGATTTCAAAGATTGGCGCTTGACCCCCCCTAGCCTGGCGGGGCCCCAGCGCCGTCCCTGGCGCGCTCCGCGCGCCATGGAGGAGGGTCCAGCGTCGACCCAAGAAGTCACCGCGTACCTCCGAAAGGTCATGGTTTTTAACCAGTCTGTTCGTCTTCGACTGGTGATACCATTCCTGAGACCCTCGCGAAAGCCCTCCTGCTCTCCCCACCTTCCTCCTCTTGCATGCACTAGCCCTCCGCTGACAGCAAGCGCGCACAGAGAGCAGCGGGGCGTCCTGAACCCGCGGCTGGCCACGACCTCACAGCCTGCTCGCGGGGGGAGGAGCCACGGCAAGGCTCGGTGGAGGGTACCCCAAACGCATTGAACGAACTATTACTCATGTCTAACTGAAAGAGTGCTGGAGCGAAGAGTGCCAGCGCACAAGGCGCACAAGGGGTCTTGTGCAGGGGGTCTGTATCTATTGTGCTTATTCTGCGCCCCCTCCTTCTCCTGCACGAGCACGCGCGCGCGGATCCAATCTCAAAGGCATTCACAAGAGCCCCGCACAAGGCGCACGATGTTCCCCGTACAACGCCTCTGCACACGACTCGCGCGAATTCTCTGTCTATTCGGCGTAGTAATGCAACTGTTTGTCGCCGTCTTCGGCCTCTGGGGGTCCTCGATGGGCCCTGGGGACCTTCAGAGAACGGCTCGGGATAAAAACACTGTCCTAGGGGGAAGGGTCGGGACTTCCGGGGACCACTTATTGAACATATGAATCCGCCATCGTGCCATTGTGGCACGAGTTGAATTGTCCTCTGGTCCCTGGCCTCATCCCTTACGCCTCAGTTCTCAATTTTGAGGCTTCTTTGAAAGAGCCTGGACGCCGAATTCGCAAATCCGCCAAGGCTCCTGGCGTCTTCCCGCATGACTTTTTCGGGCCCAAGAAGGCCCTAAGACGGACCCCAAGAAGCCGCCCAGACGGTCACAGAGGGCCCCCAATGGCCGCACGATCTGTCAACCACGTCCAAGATGGCCCCGAGACGGCCCAAGAAGCTGTCGAGGCGCTTCAAGAGAGCCCCAAGAGCCTTCCCAAGAGGGCCCCGAGAAGCCAAACACATTACTTGCCCTTCGCGGTTTTTCCATGTTTTTGGGGTCCTCGCCCCAGGGGCGCCCACGACTGCCCAACAGCGCCCACAGACAGCCCCAAAAAGGGCCCAAAAAGGATAACGCAAATCGAACATCTGAGTCCTCCGCCCCAAGAGGCCAGCACCGCACCACAGCAGCTGCAACAACGGCCAAAACCAGGGGGAAGAAAGGGACCAGGCCCAGGAGGAGGGGCCGGAGTCATCGTGCCACCGTCAAGGCGACTGAAACATGGGGAACGCTGAGGCTCTGCTGCCCGCGGTGGGCCTCGGCCACGAAGAGGCTCCGCGACCCAGAACTGAAGAAGGGCCCGAAAACCACAGCCCCTCCCCTGAGCCTGACCTGGCCCTGATGTCCAGGTCTTTACTGTGCTGCGTGTTCGTGCCGTGACGATGTCGGTGTTGGCCTCTGGCACGGCGCGGATCGCCCAACCCTGGAAATATTGCAACTTCCTGACAGCGGGACCGAGACCAGCTGCATGCAGCAGGCTTCCATCTATTTCGCCTTAGCCCTATCCTTAAGTTGCTCCCATCGTACTCAAGGACCACATCCCAGAAATAATTTCCAGCATCCAGATCAAGGTATCGAGCAACTGTCGAACGAGCATCACCTCCCAGGGCCCAGCACTTGACAACCTTCTAATTTCGATACTGTCTTGGTGTTCGATTTTTTTTCTGGTGGTCAAGGCTGAAATAGGTGAAAACATAATAACCCTATCTCCCTCCCCGCCCGTCCGTCCCGAACTGTGGCCCCCCCTGGGCTGACAAGAGCGGCCAAAAAAATCAATGCAGAATATTCCAACGTGTTGGAGGTCGCTCCGCCGTCCCTTCTGGACGGCCGACATGGGCACGGTAAAAGTGGGGTACGGTGCCCAGTAGAACATGTTGTCCAAAACCGACAGCGACTGCTGTTTGCCAGGCGACACTTTTTCTCAGATGGACCGCGCCCGCGGCGACGCCGACAGCGAATGCTCTTCAAAGTGAGCAGAATCTGCTGTCGATCTGCATGCGGCAAAGTCGTGTTTAGACGATCCTGGCGTTGGTTCCCGACACCAGGGGAGCTGTCCGGGTCAGCTGTACGCACTACCGAAGCAGCAACTTGAACCCACCTGTGGTGGAGCTCAAGGTGAAAGAGGAGGCAGCAGCAACATACTCAGATGATGAAGATGTCGATTCATGGCGCTGCGTGTGCGCACCAGCTCCACTGTCTTCTGCCACGCGTAAGCGGGCTCTGCCGCCTGACGTACATGTCAGGCCCGGCGGAGCCTTCGAGAATAGGGCTGGGAGGGACCTTGTCCCTAGGGTGGGCCAGCTTGATTCCGAGGAGCTTGAGGGGAGGACAGAAAGATAAAGCACCCGCATCCTGGGGTCACAGAAAGCCACGCGTTTAATCTAAAGCCAAACAACTAAGCTGTCCGGGCCAGCAGTACGCACTACCGAGACAGAAACTTGAACCCAACTGAGGTGGAGCTCAAGGTGAAGGAGGAGGCAGCAGCAGCAGACTCAGATGATGAAAGTGTCGATTCATGGCGCTGCGTGTGCGCAGTTCTTCCACTGTCTTCCGTCACGCGTACGCGGGCTCTGCCGCCACCTCTGGTTGTGGGAGCCACCTGCGCGGCCGTCCCCGCGACGGCCGTCTGGGCTCGAAGAAAACTTGGGCCTCCGCCGTTGGGAACTGGGCGGGCCCTGGAGACGCCGGGCGAGCATAGTCGCCGGCGTCTGCCGCTTGCGTCCGGCGCCCGCGGGCGCCTTGCGCGGGCTGTGGAGTGACGTGGGCGGGCGTGGCCGGCCGCTCATCATAAGCGGCCGGCCACGCCGCCCGGAGGTTTGCCGCCCTCCCACGCTGCTGAGCCCGGCCGCGGATGGGAGGCGGCGCGGGCTCCAGTGCGGCGCCAACTGCCCTCAGGCGCGCAGCCGCCGTCGCCCCAGCACCAGCTGCATTGGGTGTGCACCGCCCGCGGCGCTTGACATGCCGCGCCCAGCGTGGGGCGCCGGCGCGGGCTCCGCTCGCCAGGCCGAGGCCGGCGGCGGACTCCACTTCCACCTCTCCGCTCGTCTGGCCCCGTGGCCGGCGGCGCTGCTGAGCTCGCCGGGCCGAACCCGGTCGCTCGCCAGGCCTCAGCACGGCCGGCGGCGTTGCTGGTCATTCGCGATGCTGCTTCCCGCGCTGGAACCCCTTGTTCTTGCGGAGGTAGCGCGTGCCGTTGAAGTGAACCGGGCCCTGAGCCCCAGCGTTGCAATAGATCGCCTTGGGCTTCTTGGGTGGCTTCGGCTTGCTCGCGGCCGCTTCCCCCGGCGCCTCGCGCGGGCCCTTGGGCTGCCCGCCCAGCCGCGCGCTGCGCCACTGGTGCCGGGCAAGCGCCAGGGTCGTGCCCAGCACCGGCGCCAGGAGGAAGATGGCCGTCGCCGCGGTCCACAGAGGGATCGCGATGACGACGCCCCTCCTGCCCTCGCTCAGGCGCAAGTCGATAACTCCTGACCAGCTGCTGCCGCGTGCCCCGGCGTGACTGCCGCCGCGGCTGCCCAGCCCAAGGCTGAGAGACTACCCGAGGCAGCTCGCCTGCCGGGCCGCGTCTCGCTGCGGTTCGCGCGATTCCCAAAGATAGGCGTGGAACGAGTCCGACGCCCGTCTGCCGTGCCGCTGGGCCTTGGCGATGTCGTCCGTGACATGGTGCATCGCTGTGGCCCCGCCGATTCTCAGAGGATGAAACCGATCTCCTCTCGCTTGAGGCCCGGCGCGGGACCTGCCATCGCGAGGAAGTGCTGCACCTCGCGCTTCACCGGCGCGCCAGAAGCCCGCCGGAACAGGGGCAGTCGCGCCTCCGTGCCGTGGTCGAAGCGCCGCGGGTGCTGCGACCGCATGGCCGCGGGCGCCGTGATCGGGCACAGCGTCGAATGGGTAACTGCCGTACTGATTGCGCACGGCACCCACGTTGTACTGGTCCGTCTTCGATCCTTTGATGTGCAAAACGCGTTCGTCTGCGTGAGCAGACGAGCCGACTCGCTCACCGCTGGATCTCGCCTTCACATCCTCGCTGTGGACCACTCTCTCCAGCGACCAGGACTTGTCCGGCACCGAGTACTCCGACGCTCGCAGGAAGAAAAAGAAAACGAACATGATGGCTGCGTACACGGTGGCGGCGTCCGCTGAGCTGAGGCCTGCGTCCTGATGGATGTGCTGCTTCAACCACAGCAACATCCGTGGGGTGACAGGCTTCTTGCGCCGGTGGCTGGGGCCTTAGCGCCTCTTCAGGCCAGCCAAAATCGTCCACGGCCTCCCCCGGTGCAGGAGCGGGTCGCTGTGCCCGACGATCAGGTGCGCATGCCTGATGGCGAGTCCTGGCCACCGCGGGGCGCTGGCGGGGCCGTCTGGGCTATGCAGTAAGTGCTTGACCTTCTCGATCGCGATGTGCCCCGCCGGCTTCGGCAGCAGCGGAATGCTCGTGGTGCGGATCTTGGGGTCCAGGGGGATATCCCCTCGGTTGTGCAACCAGCCCGCGCTCTTCTGGTCCTTCTCTAGGAAGCGCTTGACTCCGTGGGCCACGCGGCGCGCCGGCGGCAAACTGATGCTCGCCAGGCAGTGCGCCAGTGGGCCGCGCCCGGCTCCTAGCACCTGCCTAGTCCTCGATGTTGCATCCCCGTGCTCGGAGCATAAGTAGAGGCCTCCAAGATGGGGTCCGAGTAGATGGGGTCGGAGGATCGCGCCGCATCGCCGATACATCGCCGATGCATCGCCGATGCATCGGCCATGCACTGGCGACGTCGGCGGTGCATCCACGACGTCGGCGCGGAACAAATAGGGCCCCGCATCGAGCCGCATCGCCGATGCATCGTCGATGCATCGGCGATGCGGCGCGATCCTCCATCTACTCCGACCCCATCTAGGAGGCTTAGAATAAGGTCGAACGTGGTCAGCGTGCAGCCGCGCTGCTGGAGGGGGCGCAGGAGCTTCTAGACGGACAGTCCCACAGGCGTGTCCACGACGACCACGTTGGGACGGTCCTGGCCAACTCTGACGAGTGCCTCCGCTTCGAAGCCCCTTGGGTCCATCGTCAGGGGCGTCAGCGCCCGGGCGGCTGCCTGTCCCTGGTCGACTTCACGCCCCCCGAGTTCGACGAAGGCGTCGCGATGCCCCCTGGAGGCCGCCCACTTCGATGCCGACTTGGCCCGCCAATGGGAGG